GAATGTGATGAGGGCATCCGGTTTCCCGTATGGATCAATTCAAAACTGTCGCCTTAACCACTCGGCCATCCTGTCGTGACAGCCTCGTCGTCAATTAAGGATATATAGTTTAGTATGATGCGTGATTGGCGTTGACGTTTTGCACTTGGATAACTCGTGTTGGCGATGTGTTGTTGTACAACGAAAAAAGGCCACAAACCGACCGGTGTTATGTAATGCGTATAACAAAACACCAAAAGACAGACAGACAGCTTTTCTCTTTTGCTTCCACCATTGACGATCATGTTAGTTGACGATTGATATCCCATACTACTCCAATGAACACCCAATAGAAACAAGAAGAAACAACAACAACAAAATAATGAAACTATTCCACACATATGAGTGTGTGCTCAAGACAGATACAATTCCTCATGTTCAGAAAACTCCCCTCCCCCAAAACAATACGTAACGTTTATACTGAACAATCCAAGACAAAAAAAGAAAATGTAAGGCACAGAAAGTGAAATAAAAAAAACCAATTAAATATATCGGAATAGTATCAAACAGACATCGAGGTATTTCTTGAAAACAAATGAAATGAAATGAAAAGTTCCGAGGGTTCAAGAGAGGAAGCGGGGAGAATGAGCTCAAGAAGGCAAAGGACCCCTGTCTCCCAACAAGAGGAATTAAAAAAAAAAGGTTTGATCACGAGGGAGGTCGTATCACATATCCAGACAATCCGTGTGTTTCAAGGAAAAGATGGATATAGGAGAATATATATATATATATCTGTCTATATATATATAAATATAAAGAAAACGACAGAATAGCGATCCAACTTGCCGTAAATATAAGTAGCACCATTTTGTTCCGTATATTATAAAAAGAAGAAGAAAAAAACTCCCAAAGAATATCCGCAATGCTGCATCCGCATGATACAAAAAAGAAGAAGAGAAAGCGATCGTAGATAAGATAAGAGAGTTTGTTCACACATCAATTTTCCCCGAGATAGTTGTCAAAGAGTAGGTTATTGGCCGGGTTTTCTTCCCGCATCTGCGAGACAGATTCATACGAGTAATGATCGTTGTTCTGATGATGAGATTCGCTACCATGTTCGTCGGCTGAATTGACATGGTGCATGACCAACATCGACAGGGGGACGTTCATATTCACGCTAACGTCCTGGTATTGAAGAGAGTTCATTGCGTACTGGGCCGCATACAGAGGGGGCGCTGTACTGGACGAGCCTCCTGCACAAAACCCGATCCCCGAACCGGAGGCGGGTGAGAAAAATCCATGAATTGACGGGAGTTGCGGTTGAGTAAAGTGGTTGATATTTGGATAAGAATCGAGAGGGTGCGTAGATCCCGGTTGAGTGAAAGGGGATCGGGGCTTATTAGGTGACTGAGAGGGTCGCTGCAAGGACTCAGAGTTGATCGGGTAATTGTGGTTATTATCCTGGCTTAGAGCCTCGTCAGATTGTGTGAATCGTGAAAGATTACCATGCTGGTTATTCGAGTCAAAGCGCAGTGGAGGGGGTTGAGCTGGGGCATGGTGTTGAGAGTCTGAGCCGTGTTCGTCGGGACAGCCTGCTGTCTTGTTATCAGAGTTAGATATTGAGGTCCGGTGAGAGGAGGATTCCTCGGGATAAGATGATGGATTGGATGTCAAAGATTGTGAAGACAACGCCCCGGGGTCCTCGAAGAGAAGCATATTTTGCCCATGGCCAGGGTTGAGCCGGGGTGAAGGTTCGGCTAAATTCGGATACTTACCCATGTTTCTGCCCAGTGTAGTCATGGCACGAGGTGCGAGGCTATAAGCAAATGAAGGCACGACAGCCGCAGAGCCAAATACGTGGGTGGAATAGGTGATTGCCTTGGGGGGATTCAATTTGCGATTACTGTAGTTGCGTATGGCACGAAGCTGAGAGCAGGCGCGAAGGTAGCTTTCTGGCAAGCTCTCAGGGGTCTTAATAGCTAGCTCAAAAGTTTCGATGCCCAAGGTGATACATTTTCGTGAAAGGCCCGACATGGGATGGGTTGGGGAACGGAGAAGCGATATCCAAGCGCATGTCATTGCGGCGTGAAAGGTAAGATACCAACCATACCACATCCTCCGTGTCGCCGGGAAAAGCTCTACCAGCAAGCGCTGGGCTTCGATGATCACTTGAGATGATCTGACGCACTGCTCCTCCGACATTTGATGACTTGTGGCTCCGCTCGAATTTTCCAATGAGAGGCTTAGGAATGGACGG